GCGCGATGCACACGATAAATGGTCAGAAGAAAAAATGTGTGTACAGGCTTCAGGTCTACGCCGCCGACAAGTCCGAGGACGTGACGATCACGGGCGTCAACTTGATGTACCACCCGCGCAACGACGCCAAGCAGCCCGGTGCCTCCTACTTCGAGGCCAGCAGGCGGCTGCTCCGCGGCGAGGCGGAGGCGCGGACTCCGGAGAGCGAGCTCCCAGTCAACTTCAAGTGCCTGCAGCTCAGCAAGATCCACGGGCTCAAGGGCAAGGCAGAACAGCTCGCGGGAGCAAGAGGACTACGGTTTGACGTCAACATCCAGCTCCACAGGCGCGCGCCGACGACGACGCGCGCGCTGGTACCCACGCGGACTCGTAGGTTCGACACGCTCATCCCGGGCGGCATCTACACGTCCACGGCCATGGACGTGCTCCACGTCATCTACATCGGCGTCGTGCCCAAGTTCGCCAAGATGCTCGACGCGCTCTTCGTCGGCAACCTGCGCGACCCGGAGGACAAAGTGAAAACGTGAGTTTCATCTACATCTACCTCAACGCTAACATGATCTACAGGTACGAGGACGTCCACCAGCGGCTCGAGGATCGCCTGGCGGCGATGCCCCGCATGGTCGACGGCCACCACAGCCTCATGCACTTCACGTTCGGCGCGTGCCCGCGTCCTCGTAGATGACGACTTCGGAGTCCCCGTCCTGCGTAGGTTGGTGGGCCGGTCGCTCAGGACTCAGCAAGGGCGACGACTGGCTGAACCTGTTCGAGCAGCTGCTGTTCTTGTACATAGATGACAACATTTTACTACCTGATCACGACATGCGACAAAAAGTCGTACGATTACATGTGGAGTTCTACGGCCTCATAAGGGAGGTCAAGCGAAAAGTTTGGCGAAGTGGACGTGAACTCAATGACATGAAAGACCGGATGACTCGTTTTGTAAATGAATTGGAATGGTTTCATGATTTGGTCCCTACGAAGGTGAGCCCGTCGCCCTCGCGCGCGCGCCACGCCTCCCCCTGCCCATGCTCGGGTCTCGAGTACTCGCCGAGTCCGTGCCCTCCTCCCGAGCCTTCGCCGCCCCGCGACGCCTCCGGCGGGCCTCCAGGCCTCCAGCTGAGGCTCGTCAGCCGTGGACCTCTACCGAAACGGGCGCCCTGCTTACGCACGCAGCGCGAGCTGGCGGCGCTCCGAGCAGTCTGCGCCAACCAGGGACCCTCGACGCGGCGCGGCGCGCGGCGCGGCGCGCGCCGCGGCGCCGCGCCCCGGGCTGGGGCCGCCCTAGACTTATAGGAAACCCTTTAAACGTGATCAAGCGCGGGCTCGGGGCGGGACTCGTCGCTGGACCTGCGGCGGCGGCCCGCGGAGACGGCCGCGTCCGAGGCGTACGCCGAGCGCACGCCGGGAGGCGTACGCTTGGCATGGGCTGTGGTGAAATCGTTGGACTTTGGTGAAGGTTCTCTCGCGAGACATCCCCGCCGCCGCGCGTCGCGCCCCACCCCACGCCCGGGCCCGCCCTCGCGCCCTCCCGTCCCACGCCCAGCACATACGTGTCTCATACCTCGACCCGCCGGCCGCAGGTCCTGCGACGAAAACGACATGATCGCTCGCCCGGCGTCGACAACGAGTCGCGCTCGCCCCCCCGCCCCCCGCGCAGGTACATCGCCCCCCGCCCCGACCCCGCCGCGCGTACCCGCAGGCACGTTCGCGTCGGCCGGCGAGGCGCGGCGTCCGGACGCCGCGCGTCGCCGCGCGCGCGCCGCCGGTCGAGCGAATCCCTCGAATCCCCCGAGTCTTTTCGCGCGCGCGCGCGACGTCGCCCGCCGCCCCTCCCCGCGCGCCGGACCGGGCGCGGCCGCATCCGCGCCCGCGCGCGACCCGCCCATCCCCCGCGCCCCGCCCCGCCCCCGCGACGCGCGGCGGCGATCGAGTCGTTCCGCGCGTGCTCGCCCCGGCGCCCCTCGGCCGTCGCGCGTCGCGCGCGAGAGCGGGGCGGCGCGGGCGTAGCGTCCGGGCGCGCGCGACGAGCGCGCGCACGCCGCGCGTCGCCGCTACCAAACGATCCCCGTCGCCGCGCTCGCGCCGACCCAACGACGCCCGCGACGCGGCGCGCGCCCGGGCCGCGCCGCGCCCTAGGCGCCTCGGCGTACGCCTAACTCGAATAAAAGCAAGCGCACACCGGGAGTGCGCCGCGCCGAGCGCACGCCGGGCGCGTCCTACATCCGCGTGCACGCCGGGAGCACCCCGAC